CCATCCTTGCTGAGAGGCCTGCAAGGAGTTAGGGGTGCCCAGGTCAGGGGCTGGGAGGACAGGCGAGGTAGCATGGCCAGAGGGCACAGGGAGGTGGCAGGGCTCCAGGGGTGGTGGGGGTGGGCTGCAGGGGTAGAATGACGTCTGGGCCTGTGTCTGTCAGACCCACCAGCACATCTCCAGCCTCCTGCAGGAAGCCAAGACCCAGGCAGCCCTGGTGCTGGAGCGCCTGGAGGCCCGGCAGGAGTGACGGCAGGTGGGGAGACCGCGTGGACTCCACAGCCCTTGGTGCCCCTCCCCCTTCCTGGCAGCCTCCAGACACAGTCCCTGTGGGGTCCAGAGTGGGCTGGGGGGTGGGAATCAGGGGTCCGCTTGGGGTGGCGGAGTCACACCCCCATCACTTGCAGCTTTTAGTAAAGTCATGACCCACCAGTGCCTGTGTAGTGTGTTTGGGGCTGGAAGAAGGGAAGGGCCAAGCTAAGTGGGCAGGATGGGGGACTCGAGATGAGTGAGCATGGGGAGAGGTGGTCAGAGGAAATGGGGGTGCTGCGTGGGGGTGACACACTGGTTCCCGGATTCCACAGATGTGTGTGACGTGCCCCTGGAGCCTGAGCCGGGCCACAGGTCACTGGGAGATGTGGGGGTTATGGGTAGGGTTTGGGGCAGGCGCCTGGAGTTCAGTGGCCCTGGGGTCATGCATGGGACAGAAGCCCCACACCAGAAAGCAGGGCTCCTCCATCATGTCTCAGGAAGGAGGTGTGGCCGGTACTGCCTGATGCTGTGGGGCTGGCCAGGCAGGTGAGGATGACGAGGAACAGGGTCCCGGGAGTTCCTGGGAAGGGGATGAGTTCCCTTGATCTGGCTGGGAGGTGACAAAGCACCAGACCCAGGGGTCCCAGGAGGGATGGACCCTGGCCACAGACTTCTCTCACAGTGGAAGCTCAGGGTGCCGAGGCCCAGTGATGGGGGTCTCAGGAGGACAGCTCCCCCATCTCCCAGCCCAGAGCCCCCCTGCCTGCTACTGCATCCCCCCACAGAGCCTGGTGGCGAGGGACAGGGAGGGGTTGTGGTGGAGAGTCCCCCCAACAGACAGCCCCAGATTCAGATCCTGCCGAGCCAAGCGTGACCGTGGTGGCTGAGGGAGGGCCGTGGGGTCCTGGGTGGGAGCTCCAGGAGGAGGAGGGCAGCAAGGCTGTGGTGGGCATGAGGCTGCTGTGGTCTGGTCCTACTGGGGGCACCAGAGAGGCTGTGCACAAGTGGCCATGTTCCCCAGGGGATGCCACCCTGGGGGCTCTGAGCCTTGAGTGAGTGCACACGGGCTCTGCCACAGGCTGAGGTTTTCCCAGTTTAATCTTCCAAAATAGGCAATGAGTTACGTGCTCCAAAACTGGAGTGACATGGGTTCCGTGGGGAAGCCTCACCACCCAGTTCCCGCTGGGCCCCCTTCACACTCAGAAAATCACTGCATTCTGTTTCATACCCACTTCATGCCCATTTAAGCAAACACAAACACATGTGAATATATGTTCTTAATTCTTCCTTCAGTGTGTAAAGAGAACAGGTTACATGCTGGATTTCAAGTCTACTTAGCAAGAGCACCTTTCTTATCGGTATTTAGAGAGACTCCTACTCAAAATGGGTTTTATTCACTCATCCTTTCCCCCTATTTTCTTAACCATTTTATGGTGAAATGTAAGAAACTTTCAGAAACCACGACCAATTTCTCAAGGGTTTGTGACCATATCCTGGGTGACCCTCTCCTGTCACAGAATACCCCTGACTCCCACAATACTACTCTATGGTGACTGGACCTGTTTTCCTGTTGGTCCATCTGGCAGAAGCAAGCATGGCGGTTTGCTGACCTCAGAGTCCATCTGGGCCAGTGTGTCATTCAGAGCCCTTGTTTCCTTGCTGATCTTCTGCTTAGATGATCTGTCCATTGCCGTGAGGGGAGTGTTAAAATCCCCCACTATTATTGTATTATTATCAATGTGTTTCTTTGATTTTTGTTATTAATTGGCTTATATAATTGGCTGCTCTCATGTTAGGGGCATAAATACTTACAATTGTTAGATCTTCTTGTTGGATAGACCCTTTAATTGTGATATAGTGTCCTTCTTCATCTCTTATTACAGTTTTGATTTAAAATTTGATTTGTCTGATATAAGGATTGCCGCCCCAGCTTTCTTTTGGTGTCCATTAGCATGGTAAATGGTTTTCCACCCCTTCACTTTCAATCTGGGGGTGTCTTTGGGTCTAAAATGAGTCTCTTGCAGACAGCATATCGACGGGTCTTGCTTTTTTATCCAATCGGATACCCCGTGTCCTTTGATTGGAGCATTTAGCCCATTTACATTCAGGGTAACTATTGAAAGATATGAATTTAGTGCCATTGTATTGCTTGTAAGGTGACTGTTTCTGTATATTTTCTCCGTTTCTTTGTCTTTGTTCCTTTTGGGCTCTCTCTTCGCTCAAAGGATCCCCTTTAATATTTCTTGCAGGGCTGGTTTAGTGATCCCAAATTCTTTTAGTTTCTGTTTGTCCTGGAAGCTCTTTATCTCTCCTATTCTGAATGTCATCCTAGCTGGATAAAGTATTCTTGGCTGCATATTTTTCTCATTTAGTGCCCTGAATATATCGTGCCAGTCCTTTATGTCCTGTCAGGTCTCTGTGGACCGGTCTGCTGCCAGTCTAATGTTTCTACCCTTGTAGGTTAAAGACCTCTTGTCCCAAGCTGCTTTCAGGATTTTCTCTTTGTCGCTGAGATTTACAAGTTTCACTTTATATGTCGAGGTGTTGACCTATTTTCATTGATTTTGAGAGGGGTCCTCTGTGCCTCCTGGACTTGAATGCCTGTTTCCTTACCCAGATTAGGGAAGTTCTCAAGTATAATTTGTTCAAATAAGCCTTCTGCCCCCCACCCTCTCTCTCCTTCTCTTTTGGGACCCCTATTATTCAAATATTATTTCACTTTAGGTATTATTGATTTCTTGAATTCTCCCCTCGTGATCCAGTAGTTGTTTATCTCTCTCTTTTTCTCAGCTTTCTTATTCTCCATCATTTTGTCTTCTATGTCACTGACCCTCTCTTTTGCCTCGCTTATCCCAGAAGTTAGAGCCTCCATTTTTTACTGCAACTCAATAATAGCGTTTTAATTTCAGCCTGATTAGATTTTAGTTCTTTCATCTCTCCAGTGATTTCTCTTCTGTGTTTTTCAAACACAGTTAGTATCTTTCTAATCATTGTTTTGAATTCTGGTTCTGACATCTTACTTATATCCATATTGATTAAATCCCTGGCCATGAGTACTGCCTTCTGTTCTTTCTTTTGGGGCAAGTTTCTCCAGCTCATCATTATGTACAGAAAAGAATAGATGAAAGACAGAGAAGACAAAAACAGCAACACCACCACCAGAAAAATACAAACAAAACAAACCAGAAACAAAACAAAGTAAGAAAAAAATCAAGAAGTAAAACAGAATGAAACAGTAAACTAGATCCTGGTGTATTTTGAGCTGTTAAAAGAAACTAGATCTCAAAATAGGAAAGAAAGAAAAACTTATGTATATACACAAATAAAATACAATGAAAGGAAACCAAGAATAAAAAAATTATATATAATGTATATATAAAAATTAAAAAAGAATTTAAAAAAAGAATTGATAAAATAAGAAAATAACTGAAAAAAAACCAAAACAAAACTGAAAGACTCAAGAAGGATAAAAGCACGAATGCTACATACCGTTTTCCCCAAGAGCTGAAGTTGCAGTTCTGTGTGATCGTGAACTTGGTGTTTGCCGGGTTCCTGCGAGTCTTCTGGGGAGGGACCTGTTGTGCTGGTTCTCAGGTGTCCTTGCCTGGATAGAAGTGCACCCCCCCACCAGGGGGCCAGGCTCAGTGTAAGCAGCTCTGGATCGCACTGTGTGGCCCTGGTGCTCCCTGAAAGCTTTCCGCACCTTCCAAAAAGGGGTCACCTTCTTAGTTATAGAACTGAAGCAGTTCTTTTCTCAGATCTCCCATTGATTCAGAATGATTTGAAAACTAGCTAGCTGGATTCCAGGGACCAGGTGAAATTAGGGTCCCCTACGCCCCTGCCATCTTGACTCCTCCCCCCAACAAACATTTTTAAAGCACTTCGGCTTAGTCCGGGGATAGAGGGGGACTTCACTGATGCAACAGCATCCTTCTCAGCTCAGAGCCAGCTAGACAAGGGCGGATTCCAGGGTCAAGGCTGTCCGGTCTATACACTTGGGGTGGTGTGGACGGCCAGTGCCTGGAGTCAGAACCTGCCCCAGGAGAGCGGGGCAGGGAGGAGCACGATGATCAGTCCTGGTGGCACAGGAACGGTCTGAATGTCTCCTTAGCCACCATGGGGGTCCCTGGTGGGCACAGAGATAAGGAGGCTGAGAGCAGGAGGCAGTTGAAAGCCTTTATTGTACGGGGGGCGTGTGCATACAGGAATGTGCATGGCCTGCTGTCACGGCTCAGTCCGGGGTAGGTGACCTCCAAGGGCCAGGCAGAGACCTCAGAGCAAGCCCAGGAGAGCTGGTGGGGCCCACAGAGAGCCTTTGGAGGGCACTGGAGGGGCTGAGGAGTCCAGGGATGAGGCTGGGCTGAGGAAGGCCAGGGGAACTGCAGACCATCCATGAGGGTCTGGAGCACTGGCCACCAGAGTGCACCCTGCAAAACCTCTGGGATCCAGGGAGGGCACGGAGGGCAGGGTGTGGACTGACGGACAGGAGTGGAGCGTGGTGGCACGCTCTGGAGGAGCTGGGGATGGGCGGGGGTCCTCTTTTCCCGACTTCACACCCACACCTGGAGATGGAGTCTGCAGCATGCGGAACCTCTGGGTGAGTCTGAGTAGCACCACGGATAGAGGACGGTGCCCGCGGGGCTGGGGAGCCCGGGGCACGAGGCTGAGTGCACAGGCAGGGCCGGGGGCGGAGGCAGGGCGGCGGGCTGGGAATGCGAGATGGGGGCTGGAAGCCGGGGCCAGGGGCTCGAGGCTGGGGGCCTGGGCGTGGGTCTGGGGGCGAGGGGCAGGAGGGGGGGGGCGCTAGCAGATCCAGCGGATGAACCTGTCAAAGAAGCCGGGCTGGGCCAGGCTGTCATAGTCCTTCTCGCGGAAGACGGCGGTGGTGTCACCCAGGCTGATCTTGGACAGCACGTCTGTGTCCACGTCGCCGCCCACGGCCACCACGGTGGGCACCACGTTCTGCTTGCGCATGGAGTGCACGGCCTCCTCCAGGCTGTCGTTGCCCGTGACGCCGTCGGTGAGGAACACGAAGGCCAGCTCGGCGTGGCGGCGCGCCCCCGCCCGCGCGCCGCGCACCACGTGGTTGATGGCGTGCACGATGCCCGCGCCCACGTGCGAGAAGGAGTTGAGGTAGCGCGCGCCTTCCAGTGCCTGGTGGATGACCGTCAGGTTGGAGGTGAGCGGGAATTCCACCTGCTGCTCACCCGGGCCCCCGAACTGCAGTAGGGCCACGCGCGCGTTGAGCGGGTCGTCGTCCCTGCGCGCCAGCGTCAGCCGCCGGGACACCTCCTCCACGAAGCGCCGCGCCTTGTAGAAGTTCTGCTCGCCCAGCCGCTCGGAGCCGTCCAGCAGGAAGACGATGTCCACAGGCCTCTGCGTGCACTGGGCCACGTACAGCTCTGGGGGCAAAACGGGGTGGTGGGCAGGCGACCCGGGTGAGGCCCCCCCGCCCTCACCGGCAGGGCCCTGCGCTGGCTGCTCCTCCTGGCCACTCCAGGCCCTGGCACAGTCTGGTTCCCGGCCCTGGCCATGCCCTGTACCCATCTCTGTGCACACCCCTCCCACTGGAGCCCTAAGAACCACCGCAGTTGTCGGGTTGCATCCAAAGGCACGCATGGCCGGGAGCCCCCACCACAGTGGGCCGGGGTGGGCCCCATTTTCTGCAACCTGTCACCGTCTTTGCTGGTTTTGCCTTCACCAGGAAATGTCCCTAAATCTGAGGACTGAGGGATTTATTTCCACCCTCCAAGCACCATCTCTGCTCAGTGGCCTCCTCCAGGCCCTTCCGGGGCAGGAGGGGGACCCCAAAAGGTCCTCAGTCCACAGTAGGGGTGGGAGAGAGGATCAGGGAGCCTGTCTTTGTGTTGGTAATTGAGAAAAAAGATCTCATAAAGACCTCCAGCCCTGAAAACCCCAGGAGGCAAGGACCCACATCTGCCATGTTGTCCCAGAGCTGCCCAGTGCTGACTGGGCCACATCTCTCCCAGCTTTGGGAGCAGCGGAGAGAGGAGCCTGTGTCCTCTGGGACTGGACATCTCTCTGGTAGGCCCTGAGCACAGGGTGGCCAGGCCCCTGCAGCCTCTCCAATGACTCACTATTACCTGAGGAGAGCCCTGCTCCCATCTGGGTGGTCACCAGCCCTGGACTTGCCAGACAGCTTTGGGAGTGAGGCTGCAGCCAAGGCTGAGGCCAAGCCTCTGGGGGATGTGGGTGCCACAGCACAGGCCGAAAACCCACTCTTCACATACACGGGACATGGTCCACCCTCCGCAGACACGCAGCCAGGCCCCTCTGCCGTGGCCTTGCTGGAGACTTCACCTCTAACCGTAGCTGGGGCTGGGGGAGAACAGAGCTGGTCCTCCTGCTTGCATCCAGTTTCTCAGCCCCACAAGCCCCACTCTGGGATGTGGGTCCAGGTATGCTGACCCCTGGGGCCAGGAGTGTGGGGATCCCATCAAGGAGGAGGTCCTGACTCCTGGCACCGACGAGCAGGGCTTCAGCCCAGGCTCCAGCCTTGGGGCAGTCCTGCAGGCACCAGCCGCCCAACTACACAGGTGCCCGCTCCAGACCAGTCCCCAGCCACAGCATGTCACCCCAGCACATCATGTGACCACAGCAATGCGTTCACACTCTTTTTCAGCTTTTATAGAATGTTTAAGATGTGCTCACAGCACCTGAAGGTCGCTCCCTGGGTGTGTCACCACGTGGTGTGGGCGCCAGGCTACCCGCAGATGCAACAGCTATTTCTGGCAGGCGGGATTTTTTTTTTTTTTTTTGGAGCTTATATTAATGATGTAGCTTATTTTGGTGGCCGTGCAGATGAAAAGCAGCTTCTGCTTTAAATCCACGTGGCCAGAACTTGCTGAAAAGGTCTAGCAAGCAGTCTGGGTGCCCCTGTGCTCCCAAGTCACCACCAGCAGAGACACACATGGGGGGCGGCTGGCTTGGGGAGCAGTTTTCCTCAATGCACCAACCAGGGAGGCCAAGAAAAATGCATAAGGGTGGCGGCAGGCACAGAGGCTGCAGGGGAATCGAGGAGTTTAGGGATTATGAGGCTCTGCTCTTCTCTCTTCTTTTCTGGCCAAGTAATGTCTCCCCCAAAGATGCCCATGTCCTTATCCTGGAGACTGTGAATATGACCTTATATGGCAAAAAAAGACTGCAGGCGGAATTAAATTATGAGCTTGAGACTACTCTGGATTCTCCAGTGGGCCCGAAGTGCCACCACAAGGTCCTTTTAAGAGGGAGGCAGGGGGGTCAGGCTCCAAAAAGTGTGGGCTACGTGACCACAGAGGCAGAGACAGGAGCTGGAGGAGACAGGAAGGGTCCTCCCTGAGCCCCCGGAGAGAGCGTGGCTCTGCCACACCTGGATCTTGGGTTTTCGGCCTCCAGACTGAGAGAGAATAGATTTCTGTTGTTTTAAGCCCCTTCTTGTGTGGTAGGCTGCCCCAGGGAGCTAAGAGGTCTGGGTGGGGGCAGCTCTGGCCAGCCCTGCACGCAGGCGGCCTCTGCAGCTTCAGCAGAGCGCCAGCACGGTCTCAGGGTCCCCCACGATGTCCCTGTGCACCAGCTTAAATGTGTCAATGAACAGTTCCATCCAGTCCTGCCGCTCGCCTCCTGTGGCGAACTTGGCTCGCTCGGCGGTGTAGACCATCACGGCCACCAGCCTGGAGTAGGCGGCCGGGTCCTGCGTGAACTCCGTGGCGTTTAGCAACTGTTGGATCAGGGGGATGGTCCTGGGGAAGGAGGCATCCGGGCCCTCTTCCGTGCGGAGGAAGGTGACCGGGGGCTCGCCGCCAGGCCGCGGTCCATCTGCAGGGGCATCCAGAGAAGGCTTTAAGGGACTAAGTCGGCGTGAGTGGGCCTCCAGCCGCCCTCCTGGGCTGAGCATACTGTGAGAGCCAAGGGCCTCTCTCCTCCGGGATGACTTAGGACCAAAGCGAGGAATGGGTGTTAGGCTCAGCAAGGGGGTCGGATGAGGAGGCTGGGGAGGGGGGCTACAGCGCCCCCATGTCAGCACGCGGGTGCCTAAGCTCACAGCGGCTTGGGGAGCCAGCAGCAAAGCCCGTTGCCGAGGAGACGGGGAGTAGAAGCACCTTTGGGGTTCCCACAAGACTCTTGGCACAAATAGTGGCACTGAGACTTGACCAGTCTCGGGGGCGGCTTCTAGCAGCTCAAGGCCGTGCCCCTGGAACCCCCTCAGAACAGCTTCCACAAAGCTTGCGATTCTAAATCCTTCTCTGCGCTTTGAGATACCCATTGTCCGCCGCCCAGAACTGTCCCCTCGAGGACCCGGGAGTGGCCGTGCCGCATACACTTGGGGCTCCGCTCTCCCTCCCAGCCCCCCTGGGAGGTCAGGGCCTGACCCCGCGGGCGCCTTGCTCCGAGTGCACCACGGCCTCTGTCCTAGGGGCCCGGGAGTTTCTTTCTCCTCCGGGGAGGTGCCAGGTAGCCAACCCAGGTGACCTGGTCGCACGGGCCCTCCACCCTGGCACACACACTGCCCTCTGGGCCTCTCCTCTGCACACCCGGCCCCGGAGAGTCTCCCGTGTCTGTCCCAGGGAAGCGGGGCTCGGGTCACGCTGGGGCCCCTCCCTCCTGCAGCAGCTCTCCAGAACCAGCTCAGTCTTTGCCGCCTCAGACCCTGGCCAGCTCTGTTGCTCCCTGAAACCCTCATAGTTCTGACCCAACTGAGCAAGCTGCCCCCTGGTTGGGTCCAAGCCTAGGATAGTGGGCCTCTGGGTGGATGGGGCCATGTGGCCCAGAAGGTCAGTGTCATGCCCCAGCCAGCAGCATTCACCCAGCACCCTGTCTGGGGCCTTGAAATGCTGAACAGCACACCGAGCCCCTGGCGTGCCGGGTTTGTAAGATCTCATCCCCCAGCGACCTCTGCTTTCTTCCTCTCTGGTCACAATGTCTACGACACTTGGAAATCTTCATCACTTTAAAGGATAAGCTTGTGAGTTCAGCAGAGAAGGTAACTGGGAGAAGGAGAAGGGACTCCTAGGGGGCCACACCCTTCCACTGCTGGGTCTTGGAGGCACAGGGGAAGCAAGGTCACCATCCCACCAACAGCAAAACCACACGGAGACATCACAAGAAAGGGAGCTGTGGCCGGATAGCCCTCATGAACACAGATGCAGACGTCCTCAGCAGAATATTAGCAAACCAAACCTAACAACACATAAAACGATTTATACACGGCAACCAAATGGGATTAATCCTGGGCCGGCGAGGTTGGCTCACCATCTGAAAATCAACGTCATCCATCGCATCAACACGGCAAAGAAGGGAAACTGCCGAAGCAGCCTGTGACAAAGCCCCACACTCACTCAGGATGAAGTCCTCAGTAACTAGGAGCAGAGGGGACCATCTCAACTTGACAAGGCGCATCGGTAAAAAGAACCTCGGCTCACTTCGAACTCAGTGGTGAGAAACTGGAAGCTTCCCTGCCAAGACCGGGGCGAGGATGCTGGGTCCCTACTGGGCCCTGACACCAGGGCTTGGGGTCTGGAGTCTGCCCTCGAGAGGCCAACCTGACTGTGGGACCCACTGCAGGATGACTGGGGTGCCCTGCGGGCAGGCAGAGGCACAGCCTGTGGGGTGCTTGGCCACTCTGTGTGGCCTCTGGCAGAGACTGCGCTGGCCCAGCTCTGAGGCCGGCACCTGGGGTTTGGGCAGCTCTGGGCACCGCGTACAGCTGTCCCCAGCGGACTTGAGGGACCCCAGGCCCAGGTCCCCAGAGTGAAGCCCAGAGCTCACAGGCAGCCATGGTGTGGTCAGGCTACCACCGTGATGACCATTTCCTGGGAAGCTCTTGGTCAGACAGTGTGGGGACCCCTGACCCCAGCTCAACACAGTTCCTTCCCTCGGGCCGCCTGTGCCTTCGGACCTGCCCAGCGGGCCCACCTGACACCCCATGAGGAGTACGCACGCAAGCCCAGGAAATGCTGACTTCGCCCAGCAGAGGAGGGTGTGGATGCGGGCCCCACGTTTCTTATCTGTGTCCTCTGTGGGATCTGCCGGCACAGCCCAGCCTGCTCGCTTCGGCGGCCCCCGCTACACCAGCTCCTGGGAGGGTATGGACCTGCTGCCCGCGTCCCCGCCGGAGGGCCTGGTGCTCGTTCCGGGCCCCCAGCTGGCGGGGAGGCTCACCCAGGCACCTCTGCGGGCTCCGTGGCCCCAGCCGGAGGGGTGTCCTGCCCTTTCCCTGGACCCGCAGGCCCCCCTGGAACAGCTTCTGCGTGTCCCCAGCACTGCAGCCATGTCGGACAAGGGGCCTGGGCCCCCAGACACAAGCCGGTGTCTGCTTCCTGAGGCAGGAGCTCAGGGCCGTCGGGGGGGAGGGGGGCAGCGCATCAGCCCGAGGCTGTGTGGCCGCGGCTGTTCCCACCTCCCGGACGGTTGTAAATCGGCCACTTTGTTTACTGCATCTGGGGCTGCCGCCTGGGGGAGCTGAGTCGGTTCTGGGTGTCTGTCCCTCCGGGGGCAGTGGTGGTGGTGGGGGGCCACAAGGTGCCGAGGCTGTGAGCCTGCGTTCCAGACCAGGGCCCGCCAGACACGTGCAGGCCTGGACGGGAGCCCCCCCAACCCCCCCGAGTGTGCGAGCTGGGTGGGCAGGCGGAAGGGCTCAAGACGTCAAACCTCACCCCCAGCCCCTCCTCCGACGTGCCAGGGTCCTGGGGCTGAGCCGCCCATCTGAAGGTTTCTTGCCAGGGAGGGCTCCCGCAGCGGCCCCTCCTCCCCAGCCCCGGGCCGCTTGTGAGTCTGGGGTGGGGGGCTTGGCAGCACCCCGAGTTACCTGTTTGGCAGGGAAGGTCCGGGCACACGATCTGAGGGTCTAGGAGCAAAAGGAAAGAGGCCAGGCATCCCAGTCAGTGTCCACTGGCCGGGTCAGGGGCTGGGCCCCTCAGCGGCCCCGGATGTCCCGGCCACTTCTGCCCCGCCGCACGTCCCCCTCCCCCCGCGCGGACCTGGGCTGGGCGGGCCGCCGCTCACCTGGGCACAGGACGTCCTCCATGTCGTCGATGAACTTCTCGGCCACCAGGTCAGAGAAGAGGGTCATGTTCCGTACCTGCTGCGGCTTGTCGCACGCGATGGAGTAGAGGTTCTCGCTCTCGTGCCTCTCGTGGAACATGTCCCCGATGCCGATGGCCGTCACCGTGACGTCATGGTTGCACAGCGCCCGCAGGTTCAGGTCGTCATCCCGGGGGTCATGGCGGCCGTCCGTGATGACCACCGCAAACACGCGGGTCTTCTGGCGCCGGCTCTCCTTGATGAGCTGGTTGTAGGCGAACTTGAGGGCTGAGGGCGTCCAGGTGCCGCCCGCGATCCACTCCAGGTTCTTGACGGCCTCCTTGAAGCTGGACAGTGAGTCGATGCGCTCATCGTCCAGCTGGATGGCCTCAAACGTGCCCTCGTGACTGTATTGCACCACGCCCACGCGGGTTCCTGCGGTGGCCGGGCCGGGCGTGAGGTGCCGCCGCTGCCCCCGCCCTGCACGGCCTGCCACCCTCAAGCAGGGACCTCGGCGGCTCTGGGCAAAGCTGACACCCGTCCCTTGAATGTCTGTCCGCCGCCTCCCATGACGGGGCCTCGGGATGTCCCGTCCGCCCGGCCTCCCTCCCACCGGTGCGTGGGACCTCCCACCTCCCCTCGCCCCACGGCAGGCACAGCTGACCCGTCTCTGACTTGGGGTCCTTGGCAATGGCCCCCAGCCTGTTGACCACGTTGATGACGAAGTTCTTCTCCAGGGTGAAGTTGGTGTAGCCAATACTCTCGGAGCTGTCGATGACGAACACCACGTCCAGGGCCCCACACCGCTTCTCGCAGTCTGCCGGGAGGGGCAGGGTCAGCGGGGCGGGGGGGGCGGCGGGGGGCAGGTGGCTGTGTTCACTGACCCCAGGCCCCGGGAGACAAGCCCGAGGCCCCCAGCCAGGTGCACGAGCGGGAGGGCATGACCCAGGCGGATGACCCTGACCCCTGGACCAGAGCCCTCCAAGGACACTGGAGTCCTAGTTCCTCTGCCACGTGGGGGCCGAGACTCACCGCAACACCCGCACGTCTCCCTCACGTAGGTCATGACATCACACTCCTGCAACACAGGGGCATCAGTCCCGGCCCGAGAAAGCGAGCTCCATGGAGGGGCCGAGAAGGGGCTCCTGGGAAGTCTTCAAGCAAGCTCCTGCTGACCTCTGACCTCACCCCCGCTGCCCTTGCTTTCCCATTTCAGGAGGGAGGGGAACACGGATTCCGTCCCTGCCTGACACTCACCGTGAGGCCGGGGTCTCCAGGGGGGCCGGGCTCTCCCTGGAGGAGGAAGGGTGACAGTGAGAAGTGGCCCGGGTCTGGGCTGAGGCTGGGCAGCCCCCCACACCCTGGGCACTGCCCTGACCCTGAGGTTCGGGGTGGCCCAGGGCTGTGACCTGAGGGCTGGAGGCACCAGCAGCTGACCTACCTCGGGTCCTGGGGATCCTCTCGGCCCCCGAGGGCCGGGCTCACCAGGGGGACCGGGATCTGCCTGAGGAGTGAGAAGGGCAAGTGGGCGGTGGCCTCAACCTTGGGCGTGCGGCCCCCCCACCCCCGCGGCTCCCATGCGCCCCCGGCCCAGGGTACTCACAGGCTCACCCTTCTCGCCTTTCCTCCCGGGCTCTCCTTTAGGACCAAAGTCACCTCTGCCCCCCTGAGACACAGGACACATGTCAGTCCGGGGTGGGGAGCTCGGCATGGCCCCCCTCCCCCAGCCGAGACCTCCAGGGGGTCTGCCAGGGGTACGGGTGTGCTCTTGTCCGAAGAGCCTGTGTCTGGCGGTTGGGTGGGTTACGGGACCGCGTTTCGGGAGAGGCGGGGTTTTCGGCTGGAGAGTGGCGAGCGCGCTCAGAGCTCAGCACAGGAAGCTCGCTGGGGCCCAGTGTGAGCTGAGGGGCATGCAGGCTGCCCCATGGTGGGTGCGGAGGAGGCCTCTATACACACGTACCTCAGGGCCGGGTGGGCCAGCCTCGCCTTTCTCTCCCTGGGAAGCAAGCACAGGTCACCGTAACTCAGCACAGAACCCGAAGGGCTGTCCCTGGGGCAGGAAACTGGCTCTCCTGGGGACCCAGAGATTTTTGGAAGACCCCTCCTGCCCCCTTAGGGTGGCTTCACTTATACAATCTGTGTGAAACCGTGAGCGCCGTGGGTGAAGGCCACACCACCTGCCCTGTGTCTGGGACAATTCCTGGGGGTCTCTGCCACAGACGAATGACCCTAGGCCCACTTGCCGTCGCCTCGACCCCCAGGAGGGAGGCCCTCGCAGGAACTGGTGGGAACCTTCAGGGCCTCCCAGGGCCCCCCGACTCCTGCCAGGACTTACGGGTGTTCCTCGGGGTCCCGGGTAGCTAAATCCAGGCCTGCCAGGGTCTCCCTGTGGGAAGGGGGGCTGGTCAGCGAGGGTCCAGTGGGAAGGGAAGAGGCTGAGCTGGCATGGGCTGAGGGCGAGGGCGGAAGGGGCTGGGCTGTTGGTCTGGGGGCTGTGCGTGCAGTGCCAGCCTTGGGACGTGCTCCCCCCAAGGGAGACACAGGAGGGGCTGCCCGGCCCCCGCAGGTCCCCCACGCCAAGGGGGCTGGCCGGGCATGCTCCTGGCAGCCTTGCTCGGGAGCTGAGAAGGGGCTCAGGCCCCCTGCGGCCAGTCTTGCCCAGCAGGGTAGGGCGCATACCTTGGGACCAGGCTGTCCTGACTCTCCACGGGGACCAGCGTCACCGGGGTCTCCCCGAGATCCCTGAGGGCAGAGAGAACACGGAGTCGGTACAGGTAAGGACTGACCACGTCCGGCAACACTACCCTTCTCCCCTGCTGCCCTGTGGGGACCGGGTAGCCGGGGCTCACTTCTTCCAGGTGCCCCATCCTGGCTCCCAGGCCCTGCACCCTGCCTCCCCCTTGCTGCCACCTGCCTGATACAGCCGGACCCCTCAGGGCAGGACGACTGTGGGAGGTACGGGGTGCCCCCCCATGCTGCTGCCCGAGCGTGTCATGGGGACCATGTCCTGAGGACAGGAGACCCAAGCAGCACTATGTGGGGGGGATGGTGAGATTGAAGGGCAGCGAGGGGCCCGAGCCCCAGAGCCACAGGGCCCTCCCAGGTGTCCTGCTACTGACCTTATTCCCGGGTTCGCCCAGAGCCCCCTGAGGGCCTCTGGGTCCAGGCAAGCCTCGGTCTCCCTGGAAAGAAGGGACACCGCTCTGTCGATCACTGAAGATTAGGCGGGAATGGGGGGTGCCCAGCAGGGGGCAGGGGGGTCCCAGTTACCCGCCAGGGGGGCGGGGGGTCCCAGTTACCCGCCCCCAACCGGGGAGCTGGGTGCCTGCCCCGGGAGGACGAGTGGCCTCACTTACCTTGGCTCCTTTGTTGCCAACCTCCCCAGCCAGACCCCGGGGACCCTCAGGGCCAGGGTCTCCCTGTGAGCAGAGAAGACAAGTCAGTCTCGGGCACGTGGGGGGGGGGCGGTCATTTAACTCCCTGGAGAGGGTGATACTGGAACTCAGCCCTGCCCACTGAGTCTCATGCACCAGGGAAGGGACTGCCACCCATTTCTCGGAGGGGAAGCCCCTCCTTCAAGCCCTTGACCCACATCTTGCAGGGAACTGTCAGTCCTCTGATTTGCCACAAAGACGTCCCGAGTCAGCTCCAGGTGTGTGTGTCTGCAGTGGGAAGCTGCTGGGAGCACGGCTCTCACGAAGCTGGCCTTACCCTGCCCCGGCCCTCGGCAGGGAGCGTGGGTGGGGATCGCCTGTCTGCCTCTCCTGCTTTCTGAGGACCTGCAGGGGGTGCCTCTGCTCCCGCCAGCGGCCGGGTACCGGGGGTCACTTTTTTTTTAAGATTTTTATTTATTTGAGAGCGCCGGAGCGAGAGGGAGCACAAGCAAACGGAGCGGCAGAGGGAGGAGCAGGGGCTCCATCCCCGGACCCGGGTCATGACCTGAGCCGAAGGCAGACGCTTCACTGACTCAGCCACCCAGGCGCCCCTGGGGGTCGCTTTTGTTTTCCCGGGTGGGCCGTGGTGGGGGGACTGTTGGTTGTCCTCCGTCCCAGGGCCCTGCTGACCCCTTGGTGAGACCCTGGTGCGGACACAGACACGGCCAGCGGCCCCCCATCCCCAGACACTCACCTTCTCACCCTTGGGGCCACTGCTGCCCGGGCCGCCCTTGGCTCCTGGGTCCCCCCTGCGCCCCTGCAGAGAACAGGTATGTAGGTGGGGGGCCTGCTGGTGCGGCCACGTGGGTACCCCCTGCTCTGCTCTCCTCATTTAGGCTTTGGGGGAGGGGCCTGGTCCTCTGTCGGGTAAGACTAGTTGCAGTCAAGGATTTAGGAGATGAGGGGCTCCTGGTTAGCGTGTAAGACCAATTAGGTCAATGAGGAGTTTTAGATGATGTGACTGGGGCCCCGCCTGGACCAGCTATCAGCATGGTCACTCGGTCCACTTCCGGGCCAGGTCGGGCCTCGGGATGTTTCCGCTTGAGGGCCAGCCCTGCCGTGAGGCACAAGGGGACAGGCGACATGGGGACATGAGGCAGTTTCCAGGCAGGGGTGCGGCCGAGCCCGGCCCCGGTCAGCAGGGGTTCTGCCCTACCCGGGATGCTTCACTGGTGGTGCCCAGAGCACGGTGTGTGCAGGAGGGGCGAGACAGGCAGGCTGGGCCCAGAGGGGACAGCCCACCCTGGCCAGCAGCCACTGAGCTCTGGGCCCCAGGCACTGGCGGGGGAGGGGGGACAGAGCATGAACTCACAGGCTCGCCTTTGGGTCCTCGGGGCCCAGGTCCACCCTTGGCTCCTTTCACACCGGGACTTCCTGGGGATCCGTTGTTGCCTTGGTAACCCTGCAGAGAAGAGCCACGTCGGCCCCACAGGGAAGGGCCCTGCAGAGCGCCCTCGCCCCCAGCCCGGCCGCTGCTGGGTGGGAGCAGGTCTGCCTCAGGTCGCCCAGCAGCAGGGCCGGAGAGCCTGGCAAGGGTGCCCGTGCCTCTTACTGCCCCTCTCCCGTCTGCGTCAGTGATCACAACTGGTGTGTGGCTGGGGGGCGGGGAGCAGGGACCCGCCAGGGGCACTTGCCTTGCTTCCTTTGGCCCCGCTGTCTCCTGGGGGTCCTCTGCGTCCTGGGCGACCAGCATCTCCCTGGAAAGGTAGGAGAAATCAGCCTCGCGTCCCTGAGACGTTGGCAACAGGCCCGTGCAGCTGCACAGGTGAATCCGTCAGATAGGCGCCCCGTCCGAGGGGGCTGCCTTCTTGGGAAGGGCGGTCATTCCTGCTCCTCCAGAGGCCCGGGCAGCCAGGACTGTGGACGCAGAACAGCCGGGGCGCCCGAGAACCTGGCAAAGGGGCCTGCGAGGCCTGGGGGGACAGTGGCTTGGTTGCTGGGGCCACTTGGGCACTGCAGAGCCGCCTGACCGGACACACAGTCCTGAGCTAGCCACACACTGGCATTTTCGGGCAAGGCACCCCACACCCCCGGGCGTGAGCGCCACGACCCCTCAGGCAGGGCACTCCTAGGCCTCCTACCCCCGAGCGCCAGTTTGCAGGGACAGGCCCTCTCTGCCGGACTTCTTGGCTGGGCTGCCCCCTGCACCGCCCCCTCCCCCCCAGAGGCCTGGCGCTGCCCTCGAAGGCCCATCACCTTGGCCGGGCTGCCCCCTGCACCGCCCCCTCCCCCCCAGAGGCCTGGCGCTGCCCTCGAAGGCCCATCACCTTGGCCGGGCTGCCCCCTGCACCGCCCCCTCCCCCCCTTGGCCGGGCAGCCTACCTTCGTGCCCTGGTCTCCTTGCTCCCCAGGGTTGCCGGCTTCCCCTGCGTATCCATCGGGGCCCTGCAAGACAGGGTGACAGGGCTGTGCTGGGCTTTCCCCAGGAGTCCAGATGAGCAGAAGCCTCGTCTGGACTGAGGTTCCGCCTGGGTCTGGGCTTCCAGAACCCACCGTCAGGACTCCCAGGAGCACTGTCCCCGACCTGCCCCAGAAGCCCCCAAGAGTATTTCCTCATCGTGAGACCACAACTCTGGCTGAACCCTGGGTGGGGGTCAGAGGGGCAGGGAGAGGCTGAAAGAAGGGTCCACGCCAAGTGACTCCCAGTTTCCTCGCTGCAGCTCGAGGGGCTGGCCGCCACCCTGCCCACCCCCACCACGACCCTGCATCCCCTGGAGCTGGGGTTGAACCCCATGAAGAGCACCAGCTAGCCTTACCCGACTCCCGGGGTCTCCCTTGCAGCCTGGAGGCCCGATGCGCCCCAGCTTGCCCTGGAGGAGAAGAGGGGGGCAGAGGGTGGGTCAGGGTCGTGCACCAATGATGCGCGAATGTGCAGGGCAGTCCCCTCCGCTTCACACCCAGTGGGCTCCCAGCTGTGTGTTTCAGGGCCTGGACGGTATGGTGGCCTCTCTGTGGGTGGCAGGGAGTCCCTGGGATGCGGCAGCAGCATGCGGGTGGCCCGCCAGTCAGGTCAGGCTGGGGAATTCCCACGAGCTGGTCCTCAGAAGCACACATCCACTCTGGCTCTTGCCATGTTCTTATTTGTCCTGCATCCCTGGCTAGGTGCCAGTGGGGGCCGTCTAGCCACAGGCTGTGGGCAGGGGCTAGGGGGGCCCAGGGGTCCCAGGTAAGGACCCGAGGGTCTCGGGGAGGCTCTGCTCACTCTTACGTCGGAAATGCTGACATGCACCCGGCCCGGGGAGGGAGCCCGGGCGAATGAACTCTACCTTCTGTCCATCGGTCCCGTTCTTGCCGGCCAGGCCAGGGGCTCCCTGGAGGGAGAGGTGTAATCGTCAACCTGTGGAGCAGCAGGAAGGTGGGGTGCCCCGCCTGCCGGCCAACACAGCCCGCTTACCTTCCGCCCCTCGGCTCCAAATTCACCCTGCGCAGGAGGAAAGCGAGGCCAGTTAGCTCGGCGTCCCAGACACCACTGCCTCAGGGCCCAGGTCTGCCTCGGGCCGAGCAAGAGGCCAGAAGGACCCCAGAGAGGGCCGCCCCCTGCAGGACTCCTGTGCCCCGATCAGGGCCACGGACTCGCTGACGGACGCAGCTGGGGGCTGGTGCTGAGCTGGAGCCGCGGCCACGTCACAGTCTCACCTTCTCCCCTTTGAAACCAGGAACACCCTGAGGTGGGAAGGAAGGAAGAGCGGCGTCACTGCGATGCCCGCCGGCTCAGGGGACAGCAGGGCTGGTGGCCAGCCTCCAGGGAGAGGCATGACCAGTACTCGGCGGGGGGCTCGGTTCAGGGACAGCATTCAGGATATTGAGGCTCTTGGCTTTTCGCATTGGGGGTGAAGGGGGCGGGCAGGCCGGAGACACCCTGACCCTGTGGGCTAGCCCCACCTGGCCCAGGCAGCCCTTGGCTTGTCCCCGGCACCCCCCCCAGCCACAGGGGGCAAGGCTAGCAGCGACTTGCCTTGGGTCCTGGGAATCCAATGGGGCCTTCGATGCCTGGGTCTCCCTGTGGAAGAACGAAGAGCCACGGCTGAACCCCAGTCCTGGGGAACCGGGGCCAACGGGGCAGGGGTGCAGAGGGCACTCACCTGTCGTCCCTTCTGCCCGGGCTCTCCTGGCTCGCCCATGTTGCCCTTGGCGCCCTAAACGCAGATCATGGGGAAAGGGGTAAACTAAGGCAGGAGGCAGGCAGGCGGGCAGAGGCTTCTGAACTGGTGTGTGTCCTGCTTTGGGGGCTCCTCTGTGTCCCCTCAGATGCCGCCGTGGGCGCCCCTCCCCCCATGGGGGGGCCACTGCAGTGAAGCTGCCTCCGTGGGCACCTCCAGCCTGGGCCATGGCGAGTGGCAGTGCCACCGAGGATGGGGCGCGTGGGAACATCTGGTTGGCGACCCGGTGGACGGGCGTCCACAGTCCTACTGGTCTAGATGCCTCCTTCCAGATTTAGAAAGGGAAACAGGAAGCCGTGCAGCGACAACCTCCAGACAGGCTCATCTTCCCTTCCCTCCTCTGCCTTCGCGTGCGGCCTCTGACCAGAACTACTGGTCGTCGGACACCCCGGCAGCGAGTGCGTAAGAAGTGGGTGCTCCTAATGGATTAGCAGACGCCTGTTTCAGGTTTCCTGCACGAGCTTCCTTGCTTTACCAGAGCGCTGCAGTGGGCAAAGCTATAATAAAAAAGCATCCCTGCTTTTCTCCAAATGCCATTTAAGAGGGAGATAAAAACTGAATTTTAGTTCGTCCAGGATCAGAAGGGCTGAGGTCATTCCAGGGGCATGTGGCCCCACGTCTGGAGCTGAAGAGAGGTCAGGGCTTCCTGGCAGCTGACCCCGGGGGCGGTGTGGGCGGCTTACCTTCTGTCCGCGGTAGCCCTTGGGGCCGGGGGGCCCGGGGATCTCCAGACAGCTCACCTTGTAGCACTGAAACAAGAAGCAAGTGGTGTAGAGGAAGCGGGCGCAAAGAGCCCCAGGTGGGGGGCCGAGGACCCCTGGGCGGTAGGCCATCGGGAGCACAGGGCTGGATGGAGGAGCAGACACGAGAGGTGCCCAGGAGGCCCCCGAACCCACAGGCACTCTGGCCGAGTCTGGGAGAACCACGGTTACACAATGGCCGAGTGTAGGAAGGATGGAAGAGCCCTCGGCCAGGCCCCACAAATGCTCGTGTGTGGCACTGCCTTTGTAGGAGCCTCGCTGAGTGGGAAGAGCTGGGGCCGGGGGGATGTGAGGGGCCCTGAGCTGAAGTCCCGAGCTGGGTGCCACCTGCGCTGTCCTCCTGGCTCGGAGCTTGGAGGGTGACCCCGAGCCTCGCCCCTCATCTACTTGGTGTGTGCTGGGTGAGTGACCCTAACGCCGACCCCTGCATTTAAACAGCCTGGTTTGGGCCGGGAGCCCTTCATCCAAACGTAGGCTCTCAGACCCGACATGCAGCAGAGGGGTCTTGCTCCCTGGCCTCCTCCCGTTTGTCCTAGACCCCGGGGATCAGCGGGGGGGCTGGTGCAGTGATCATCTCTGCTGGGTCAGCGCCTCAGAGGCCCAGCGAGCAGTCCCCGGCCAGGGTGGCAGGACCGGAAAACGCCTCTCACCTCTCCATAGGCTTCATGTTTCTGCAGAAAAGACCAAGAAATGCTACTTAGCCAGAGCCGGAGATTTGGGTGAGAATGCCCGGGCTTACCCTCACAGAGGGGTAAACAGGCCCAGAGCAGGACACTGCCCACTGCCATAGTGGGGGAGCGGGCCCCAGGGCTCTGGCCTCCACCCTCCACTCCTGGTGCCCAGTGGGCAGGCGTGGGCCCGGGAGTGGCTCACCATGACCTTGATGATGCGGTTGATGGTGTCTTGGTCAATCTCCAAGTCGGGACGCACGGTGGCATAGTTGTTACGGTAGAGCTCAAGGGGCATGCTGGCCATGTCCCGCAGACCCTGCTCGTTCGGGATCTGGTCGGGGGCCACGGTGAAGATCCGGATGCCCTCCTCGCGGGCCCGCTCAGCCTGCAGCTTGATCCCCCCGCACGGGCTGCCGGTGACATAGCCGTCGGTGATAACCACCGCGAAGTGGACCCCACCCTTGCTCTTGAGCTGCCGGATCTCCTGGGTCATGTTGGCCAGCGCGCAGTCGGTGAAGGTGCCCTTCCGGATGGAGACGATATTCTCCAGGCTCTTGGTGAAGGAGGCCCGGTCGCTGTCCGGTGGGCTGAACACCTTCACCACGTCGGAGAAGTGCAGGCCGCCATAGCGCCAGCTCAGGGCCACCTGCTCCAGGTAGGTCTCGTCCTGCAGCTGGCTGATGAACTGGCGCACGAACTGTCTCATGTGGTAGAGCAGGCTGTCGATGGGGGACTGCATGGTGACGCTCTCTGAGGTGTCCAGCACGAAGTACACGTTGATGGGGCAGTCGGCCTTCTCTGGGGGGCACGGGACATATCACGGGCCTGCCTGTGTGGAGGGCCTGCAGCGCGAGCCTGTCGCCAGGCCTCGTGCATGTGGGCGATTCTGGGCTCTGCCCCCACTGTGGCCCCGCCACACCCTTTTCCTACCCACACCGAGCCGCCGCCCCCACGGCCCCTACCTGGGCAGCTGTTCCTCTCAGAGGCACCGGGGGTGATGATCTGCTGCTGGGCACGGAGGACGCCCAGGAGCCCCCAGAGCAGGAGGGCAGAGCAGGGGCCTCGGAGCATCTTGGCAGCACCTGTGCACCCTGACGTCCTGCAACAGGGAGAAACAGCCACTGCAGACAGCGCCCAGTGCCCCTCTGGGACCCCAGAGCCCCCTCCCCAGATGGTAGGGGCAGCCAGGGAGACGCCCTCTTCCCTCGCCCAAGTGGGGCCCATGAATACTCAGTGGACGCACAGACCGCAAGCTTTGGGCTTGGTTCTGGGTGAGTTTCAGATGTTTGTGGCCCATCCCTGCCCTGTGGGGGCTGGGTGCGCTAAGGAGACAGGTGCATTCTCGGAAACTGAAATGCCAGTGGTGGGCGCTGGTGGCAACAGAGCCCTGCGTAGGGGGCTCAGTGGGTGGTGACTGGGGACGGGTGCCGAGGGCGGGGGGGGAGAAAGGCCCAGGCTGGGGTGGGGTGGGCCTTGGCACCGGATGTCAGCCATCCACGTGACCCCATGCTGACAGACTGGGGGAAGGACCTGGGGATGCAGTATGGGGGCTGGGATGCAGACAGGCCTCAGGGGCTGGTAGGCAGCGAGTGCCAGGGTCCTGCTCGGATGGGGGGCGGTCCTTCGCCAGAGGGGGTCGCCATGCCCTGACACATCTCTGTGGGAATGGAGGGTTCCCTGCTTCTGGCTGCCTGCCTGGCAACCAGATGGGGGGAGAGGACCTGGGGCATGGGGAGGGGGGCTGGGCAGGCGCTGGGGACAAGGAGGGACAAGAAGGGGCTTGTCCTGGTGGAACTCTTTGTTCACACAAACGCCTCACGGCTTCCTGGAGTCCCCAGAGCAGAGGGCAGACCCAATGGAATATAGGGACTCATGGCCTGCAAGTGGGGCATGCAGGTAGGCTGGGCCCTCAGGGGACTCGGCGGGGGAGGTGGTGCCTGGAGAGCTTTGGGGGAAAGCAAAGGAATGGGGGCACTTTGGTGCCATTTTCCTGGTGATGCCCCTCAATGCATTTTTGAGAGGAGGTGGATGGATTTTGGGGGGCAGATTTAAGGTTCATATCACTTGAGTTTAAGGTGAGAGGAGCTGGTCCTGGCATCGTTAGGGGTGAACAGGACATGGCCCTGCCTCCCCAGCATAGGTCGTGGTCAGGTCAAGAGGCCATGACCCTGCAGGTAGGGGCTGTGACCCAGCAAGGTCGTGACAGTTGCCCAGGCAAAGCAAAGCCCAGTGGGTGTGCCAGGGAATCCAGGCAGGCTTCCTGCATGAGGCAATGGAAGTGTCCAGACTGAGGGGACTGGCCAGAGGAAGGGGAGTGCCTGACTCAGGGAAGGTTCATTCCGGGAGGGCTGGGGTGGGGCTGAGAAGATGGGGAGGGGCAAACCGGGGGCCCCAAAGGACCTGGGAGCCAAGAGGGTGTTGGCGGCAATGGTCGGAGAAAAGAGGTCCAGAGCCATCAACCCTGCATGACAGCCAACGTGGGGACTGTGGGAGCTCGGCAGGGCGCGGCAGGGGGCTGGTCAGGGCTGAGCACTGGGATGTGGGTGCAGCTTTGTCCTCCCCCACCCCTCCTCCTGCTGCCCCGCAGTGGGGGAGCCGTGAGTCCCCTCCGCTGTGGGACGGAGGGGGTTGCCGAAGGGCCAGGGACTCTGCACCCACCTCGGCACCACTCCCCGTGCGTGTGCACACACCACACCAGTCACACACATCACACACACAATCAATTCAAAGAGGCCCCCATACTAAAGTGTACTGCTGGAAAATGCCACTCTCGAAGGAAATGAAGAACTCTAAAAATAATCTACACAGGAGAAAAACACAATAGCAGCAACTGTATATGTGTATATATATGTATATATATATACATACATATATATACATATATATAAAAACAACATCTAAAGGGAAGAATGATTTTGGTGTCATGGTGGGCAACCCCCGAGGTGGGCCCAATTCCTCCTGCTTCCTGCTGCCACCCTCTCACAAAATCCTCACACACTCAGCTGTCACTGGCCTGCCTGTATGACCAACAGCTCAGCACACAGATGACGGTGTGTGCCTCCCGAGATAAGCTCACAGAAGACATCATGGCTGCTGCCTGGCCCTCTCTTGGGGTCCTCACTGGGAGGAAGCCCACGGCTGTCACATGAAGGCACTCATGCAGCCCTCCAGAAGCCCAAGAGGGAGGGATCGAGGCCTCCAGCCAACAGCCAGGTGAGTGAGCTATCTCAGCCCAGTCAAGACACCAGCTGAGCAGAGCCCTGGCCAATCCCCCCGACTCTGGCTGCACCTCATTAGGGACCCTGAGCTAGAGCCACCTAGGCAAGTCATTCCTGACCCGAATCAATTAAGACATAGTAAACGCTTATGGTTTTAAATTACTAAGTTCTGAGGTAACTTATACATAGCAATAGATAATTAATTCAGGCATCAAAATTTCTCTCCACAATATTTTATACAGAAAAACAATGAGACAGTAACTGGAGAATTTTGAGGGGAAAATAAAATGACCCAAAGATGTCTGCCTAGTCAACTTAGATTTCATGTAAAGGATAAAAGTCTCAGATGTAAAAGGGCTCACCTACATACCATTCTTAAAAAAAATTCTGCAGACAACAAAGGAATAAAGTAAGTAAGATAGCAAAGAAACTTGAGGAATACAGTAAAATATAAAAAATGAAGAAAAAAGGAACCAGAAAGCACAATTAATATCACTTGGATCAGCTATGACAATATATGTGAATGCTTTAAATTCTTCTGTTGAAGACAAATGTTCCCATGCACCCTGATGTTTATAGCAGCATTATCACAATAGCCAAACTATGGAAACAGCCCAAGTGTCCATCTACTGATGAGTAAATAAAGAAGATTGGTTCATATATACAATAGAACATTACTCAGTCATAGAAAGGATGAAATCTTGCCATTTGCAACGATGTGGATGGAACTAGAGGGTATTATTGTAAGTGAAATAAGTCAGTCAGAGAAAGACAAATACCATATGATCTCACTCAGATGTGGAATTTAAGAAATGAAACAAACAAAGGGGAAAAAGAGAGAACCCCAAAAACAGACTCTTAATATAGAGAAGACACCGATGGTTGCCAGAGGGGAGGTGGGTGGGGAGAAGGGTAAAGTAGGGGATGGGGAGTCAGGGGTGAACTTGTGATGAGCACCAGGTGATGTAAGGAAGTGTTGAGTCATTATATTGCACACCTGAAACTAATATAACACTATGGTAACTACACTGGAATTAAGATTAAAAAATGGGTAAAGAAGATGTGGCATATATATATGTATACGTATGTGTGTGTGTGGATACACAACACACACACATATACACACAATGGTATACTACTCAGTCATAAAAAAAGAATGAGATCTTGCCATTTGCAACAACATGAACCTAGAGAATACTATGCTAAAGACATAAGTCAGACAAAGACAAATACCATATGGTTTCACTTGTATGTGGAATCTAAAAAACAAAAGAAATGAACAAATAAACAAAAACGAAAATAGACTCATGAACACAGAGAACAAACTGGTGGCTGCCAGAGGGAAAGTGGTGGGGGATGGGTGAAGTAGATAAAGGGGATGAACAGGTGCACATTTCCAGTGATAAATGAGTCATGGGGATGAAAAGGAGAGCACGGGGCACACACTCAGTCATAGTGTACTAGTGCTGTGTGGGGATGCATGGTGATGACACTTACGGTGGTGAGCAGAGCTGAATGTACAGAACTGTCAAATCACTATGCCGTACACCTGAAATTATTAGACATCAACTATACTGCAACAAAAAAAGGAAGAAAAAAATAAAAAGATAAATATTCCTAAATTGGATCAAAAAACGAGACCCATCTGGATGAGGTTCGTGAGTCACCCGGGAGGCTGTCACAGACAGTGCAGAGGAAAGCAGGGCAGGGTGAGACAGAGAGGACAGTGGTGGGACAGCGTGGGGGCCCTTCGAAGGTGAGACAGAAGGGCGAGGGATGGTGCCAAGGACAAGGTAAAGGCTGCATATGAGTCTAGTTTTGAGTATGTATGTATCGGATTTCATAACAAAATTATATAAAGCAAAAGTGGTGAAAAATCGAAGAAAAAGCTGACAAACTGCAGTCATAATAGAAGACTTTAACTCACCTTTGAAAGTTCTTGACAGATCACATAAACAACAAAAAAGAAGATGTGAATGTCCTCTTTTATAAAACTTTGATAGTAACGAGTAGGGAATACGTATTTTCCAAACATTTGGATTTGGATAATGTGCGTGGAACACACACACATACCTGCCTAGCTATCATCTATATCTATCTTTGAAACCTACAAGTAGGGAATGCATGTTCTTTTAAAAATTTTACAAAATTCAATCCTAGAGTAACCACAAAAGCAGCTTTAATTAATCTTTTAAAAAATCAGAAATTGTACATGAAATTTTCTGAACCACAATACAAAAGCAGTCACTAGTAAGACAAAAAAAAAAAATCAAAACACCTGGAAATTTAAAAAACTCTCTCTTGCTAAAACTACATAGGAATTAGGGACAGTGACAATGTTATACATATAAACAAATATGAGAAGGCCAAAGCTATAATTAGAGGACAATATATAGCCTTAGATGCTTTATGTTGTAAGATAGGAAATTAGTATAACAAATTAGACACATAGTTGAAGAAGCTAGGGACAAAAATAAATTAACAACATGAATCTCAGGAAAACGAAAGAAAGAAAATAGTAAGAAATAAACCAACTGATTAAAAGAAAACCAACAAGAGAATTATAAATATATATATATATATATATATATGAGCTGGTTCTTTGAAAAAGCCAATAAAGTAGACAAATTTAATCAGAAACGAAAAAGATGAAGCACAAATATAGTAATACACAAATTCAGGAATGAGTAAAATCATATAATGATGAGTGAAGAAGGTTTTTAAGAGCATACCAAGTGCAGCTCTAAGCTAATGAACGTGAAAGACCAGGTTCTGGGAAAGTCTTGAGATGAGGTGGGGACCTGACTGGACTCTGCCCAGGAAGGACTGGAAACGCTGGCAGGGGACGTGCCCCAGGGCTCCGCCCACATGGATTTGGTAG